TGGAGTGGAGTGGAGTGGAGTGGAGTGGAGTGGAGTGGAGTGGAGTGAGTCAGTGAGTGAGTGAGTGAGCGAGCGTCAGAGTGGGAGTGAAGGGAGAGAGCGAGAGAGCGAGTGAGATTGAGAGTGGAGTGAGAGTGAATGTGAGCGTGTATGAGAGCGAGTGTGAGTGTGAGCGTGAGTGTGAGCGTGAGCGCGTGAGTTGCCCTTGTGCCTGCCACGAAAAGTCACCATCATGTCCGAAAATGCGCACAGCACCACAACGAGAGCGCAGTCGCGACAAGCACCCGCTCCAGCCAAACAGATTCTGCGAGCCTGCGCAGTCCAAATGCACTTCGAGAGGCATGCATGTATACTGTAAATAGCAGCGAATTAGCCGGACACGTTGGTGCAACACCTTGATTAGACACCTTAACTATTACCGTAAGAACCCCTAGTGTGTCCACACTGTTTGGGAAATATTGAAACGTTGCTAAAGACATGAAACCTAACTTAATAAAGTAAAAAACACTGAGTGCAAAAACATGCAAAATCTCTACAAACTGCTTGGGCCTTTGTCGGTCTTTTTATGCCTTTTTACTGTTGAAGAGTTGCCCAGAGTTGCCCTGCACCACCTCATTTTGCCCTCTACTAGTAACAAGAAGCTACTAGTAGCTCCTGGCATTACTACTAGGAACAAAAGGACGCTACTAGGAACTCCGAGCATCGCTACTAGTGAGTAATTTCATCTCAATTCCCGAAATTTCAAGGAACCTTTCCCCCGCCTGTCGGGTGCAAGGTGCACAGGGCGGCGGTCGCGTGCAACGAGGCGGTCGCGGTCTCGTCGTCGGCCGCGGCGGTCTCGCTGCCGGCGGTCTTCGAGGTGGCCCAAGCCTTCAACAACTCCTGGGAGGAGTAACTGGACGTCTGGACTGGACTGGGAACTCGGACTGGAACCTTGGAACGCTATCAGTTGGAGGCCATCGCTTTTAGGTTGGAGGCCACCACTATTGAATTTGGTTGGAGCGCGTCGCTTCTAGGTTGGAACCATGTAATTAACCGTGAACCCTTGTGAAACCTTTTGGTTCATGATGATTTATCCAGATCTGCTTGAGATGTGGAGGAAGCTGCTTGCTCTCTGAAGTCGCCTTGTCAGCCTGACCATGACTGACCCGACTGACGCAAGTGAGGATGTGGTGTGCTGTACTGGGTTTTTGTGGTGTCCTGAGAATGGAAAACTAAACCGAAAAGCTCCTGAAACAACAATCCCCTGGTCTTCGACGATCTTTAGAGCTAATCATCGGTGGAACCACCACCGGGCTGGCTTCCAGCCACCCGAGGGCGCGTCAAGCCGGTGCGAACGGCCGAACTTCTCCTCGCGGGCGCCCTCCAATGAGCCACAAAGCCGTTCCAGCTTGCCAGAACCTTTGGAAGCGCGGAACAGTGGAGGAGCCAGATCTTTAAACGAAAAGGGTCGGTTCCGTGGTAAAATCATGGGGGGCACATGTGAATGGAAAAGTGTTGGAAAAGTCCGGACCATGGATTCCAGGATGTCTATGGAGATCTCATTGAATCCTGCTTTACAGTGGATGGATGTCTTCGCGCATCTGATTGGAACTGCTGCAGAGAAGGGTCAGTAACCCCTGTGGCGGGTGTTTCACCTCCAGCGGCCGCAGGATTCGCTTTTGATCCAATTCCACCCCTGGGCGGGGACCAGCGGGAAGAGTCCCGCGCATCCGGGGGGGTGGTGGGTGCCACTGGTTTCGACTGATGGAAGAGGCCTGCAACTTCTCGGGCCGAGAACAAGGCGCACAAGACCAAGGCAAGGACACCCAAGGGCAAAGCTGAGCCAGGGAAGGGAGCTGAGCCGAGCAAAAAGCATCAGCAAAAGCGAAAAGCACAGGAGCCCGCGCACTGCAAGGCCTGGAAGGCCTGAATCCATGTGAAACATGGATCCCATCCACCTCCAGGACACACCTGATGAATCCAACCTCAGCTATTTTCGCCAGTGGCCTGCATGCATCTATAGTGACTATACTATCTGGCCAACAAAGTTGGCCCAACCCCATCCAAGCTTTTTCTCGCTGGGGCCATGGATGTGGTCCACATCGTCTTGACCGCCACATGCGGCACCAGTCACGGCATGGTGAGCGAGCCATGTGGCACCAGTCACGGCCCCCCCCCGGTGCTCGACACGGGATGTACACGCACCCGGCAGCGCGCGCACGGCGGCGCTGTTGGAGGGCGGGCCACGATGTTTAGAGAAAGCGAGGGCTGGGGGCGGTTGGGCTCGACCCAAAAAATGCAAGCGCTCCCAGTTGAATCACCATACAAGACAATGATCATCTTCACAATGGTATATCCAGGGTGCGACCCTACATCCAAACCGAAACGATCCGAAACGTCACGAAACCACAAAATTCTCAGAAGGGCTACCCTGGCTGGTTTCTGGTTTCAACTCATGAACAAAACCTATGCATCACGATGTTTAAACATCTCAAGTAAAGACCTGAACATGAAAGTATGAAACATTATGAAGCCACCACCCAGCTGGTGTGCAAATTCCAAGACGCACTCCCCAGCTGAAGGCGCACGACCAAGTGGATTCAGCGCCAAGTCTAAGATGTATTTGAGCATCTCCAAAGCCACCCTCATAAAGCCTCGCACGCTCCTCAGCGCTAGGTACCAAAAAGGATGCTGTTTGCAAGGCACACTGGTGGCCAGTGGTATAAGGAGCTAGCTTCATCAGGACTAGCGTGCAACCGCGTGTTTCTGTTGCTCAAGATATGTTTTACACCTCCAAATTAGAAGGACATGACAAAACATGTATATACTTTACTTTAGTTTGTCAAAGCCAAAACGGTTGCTCTTAGAGAGACCAAACACACATAGGAGAACATCTTCAGGTAGTGCACAAATGCCTGGTGTGAATCATGCATTCATTCTAAAGGCACATGGACTGCCTGGAAAACCAAAAGCAGTCTAGCTGCTGTGTTCCTGGTGATTCACAACAATAACAACAACAAACGCTGTCTGGTTTTGTGGGAGCTAGGGATGGATTGGCAACCTAGAACGCTATTGTAGGCTCTTTTGCTCAAGTCAGGTTAAACCCGATATACACTCCATGTAACGGATGACTTACTTGGGGTAGTGTCTGGGTCAATGTCGGTAAATATTCCACACATGGTGTTTCATGGTGTTTTTGAGGTAAACCAGCGTAATGGTGGTCCTTGGCATCTTGCTTCCAGGGCCCCGGAGATAAAAGCACATTTGTAATATATTTGTAATATAGTCTGACTCACAAAAAGAAACACTATAGACGGAACATGTCATCCTTAATACATTATATAACCCCTATAAGTTAAACATTATAGAATTGTCCTTTCATAAATAAACACTATAAGTGTATGATTAAAAAAAAACACTATACAGTAATCGGAATGTGTCATCTTCACCAAATTAAGAAGCTCCGTTGACCCACGTTGACCGCCGCCCAATGCTCCGCCCAACCGCCGCTCCGGACGTCCCCCGCTTCGTCACTGGCCGCCCAGCTGCTGGAAGTGGCGGCCGATGGTTTCCCAGTCGCGCGGCGCCAGCGGAGAGATGTGGCCCAAAGCGCAGGCTTGGAGGAACAAGCCATGCACCTGGCGGATCTGATCTGGGATCCAAAGGGTCGGGGTTCTCCAACAATATGATGGCCACTATAGTATAGGGGGTTGCAATGAAAAAGAAGTGGATATGATAGTCCAGCTGTATAGATTGAAGATGCAATCCTCCTGAGGGAGGGAGGAGTAAGACGAGAAGTGGGTGCGCTGTGCTCGTCACCACACACCATCCTCGACATTGTGATGATGTGGGTGTTCAAGACTGTTCAACAGGTTTCTAAACCTAAAGGTGCTTTGTTTGCTCTAAGATCCCCACGACGATTCCCATGTTTCCGGCGCACCTGCTGAGGCAGGAGCTGATAGTCCCGTGGCTTCTCCTCTGTCAACCGGGTGAAGCGGCAGCCGGTGAATCAGGGACTCCCAGACTGATCTGGCATCCTTTTGCAAGGTGACCAACCATTCCCTGCAACAAATTAGGGGAAGGTCAGGGATCCTTGGACACCAGTGCTCGCATCCCTCTCAAGAGGGCAGCCACCAAGTGGGCAATTGTATGTACAACACCCAGATTACAGCTGAGCTGAACTGGGAAAAAATCTTAGGTCAAACAGAAGCCCCCTCCCTCTTCAAAAACAACAAAACAAGAACGATCGCACACTTCAAACTGCACACAACATCATGATCGACGATCTACATATTACAAATAGACTCCATATAGCATCTAATACCCCACTGAGACACTGAGCATGTCAAAAAATAAACATATACTCAACTGCATGATGAGCTTCTCGAATGCACTGGGTGAAGATCCCAAAGGCCTGAATCTCTTCCACGCAGCTTCGAGCCCGTTGGGCCCGGCCGGCTTCCTCCTCTTCCAAAATCCCCAAGCGCGCCTTGGATGGATGATCCCACAATGGAGCAGTCGAATCATGTCGAATCTATCTGCAAGCGCTTCATGTGTCTGTGTGTTGTTGTAACTTTCTTAACTATTTTCAAACCACCTATCACACATCATCACATCATCATCTTCATGAGTCTACAAATCATGTCAACCAAACACGTCGCTCAACTCGCGTCGCTCAACTCCGTCGTGGTGTCCGGCCCGAGTGGCCACCACGTCGCTCAACGCGGGACTCACCCGGCGCGTCAGCAGGTCCAACAGGCTGCCGGAGAGCGTGCGCGCACCTCGGTGGAGCGGAGCAAACCGGCCGGAGCACACACACAGGATCCATGGGACCGTGACCTGGTATGTTTTGGTCGGACCTCGCGGTGGGGTGGTGGGGTTGGACGATATATAGGTTTAATATTTTTGTGTGTTAATATTGTTTGTTGTTGTTGTTGCTGTTGCTGTTGTTGTTGTTGCTGTTGCTGTTCTTAGTGTTGTTGCTGTTGTTGCTGTTGCTGTTGTTGTTGTTGTTGCTGTTGTTGTTGCTGTTGCTGTTGCTGTTGTTGCTGCTGTTGCTGTTGCTGTTGCTGTTG